GCTCTCTCCTCCTCCTGCGATTGCCTTCCCCTCCTTCCCTCCCTCCCCCACTCCCGCGCCGCCCGCCCTCCTCCCCGCCCTCCTCCCCTCCCGCAACCTGCGGGCGGTGGCGACCCCGCCCTCGCGCGCTCTGGGGCTACAGGGATGGGGGACCGCGGGCCTGTCTGGGGTGGTGGTGATTGTCGCTGACCCGGAAGGAGCTTGACTCGCCCGAAGGAGGGGAGGATTAATGACAAAGACTGCCGCGCTCTTTCCCATTCAATCCAGCTCTCGGAGACGCGCCTAGTCTGACCGAGAAGAAAGGGGGAAGGGGTTGTGTGTGTGTGTGTGTGTGTGTGTGTGTGTGTGTGTGTTTGTGTGTTTAGGAAGAGGGACGACAGCGACAAAATGCTCGCAGACTCAACCTCAATAGATTTCTTAAAAACTAAAATGAGAGGTGCAGCGGGGAACAGGGGACTTAGGCACAAACCATAGCAGCCGCTTCTTTGCAATAAGACATTAATGCTTTTAAGTGGCCAAGGCCGCTTTTTGTGCATCCAGGTTGTAGCTGAGGTATGTCTCCACGTGTGGCCGGGCGCCCAGAACACGGTGTACACTTCAACGTGTGGGGTGTTGTATTCCAGGCGCCTGTGTGTGCTGACGCGCTCAGTGTGTGCACAGCTGTGCAGAATGAATCACAGACATCAGAGATGGAAAACACCTGTTACTGTTGGTCATCCGGGCTGGCGTGCACACGTTCTAGTTCCCATTTCTAGGACAGTGACATGCCCTTGCTCGGCAGGCCCTATTCCTTCATTCATTCTTTCAGCCAGTCCGGCCAGCTGTCTACCAGGGATTTGCTAGGTCAAGAGATAAAAGACAAGCAAAGTACCCCTTGCTCTCAGAAAACTCCCAGTCTACTGGGGAGAGGGTGAATAGACACCCCATTTGCAGCTGGTAGACTTGATGTCATTGAGGAGGAACAGAAAGTGCCTGGAGCCCTGGGAGGGGAGGAGAAGGAAGCTTTCTCCAGAGTGGTGGACCAGGAGGCCTTACCGAGAAAATGATCTTTGAGGGCCTTGAATGATGTGTTGGATTTGAGCATGCTAAACAGAAAGACATGACTATCCACCGGAGTGAGGACAGAAGCAGAGGTCCTGATTTGAAATCTCAGGTGTGTATAGGATGTAGGGGTTTGATTTTGTGGCCTATATAGGATTAGTGAGAAATGATTGGGTTAGATTATTGGGTTGGATGTATGGGTTAGATCAAGAGTTTGGATTTGATTTGGTAGGCAATTAAGAAAAGAATCATAGAGCATCCTTATGATGCTAAGAAAAAAATGAACACTGACGCACTGGTTGTCAAAGTGTAGTTCACAGACCTGAAGCATTCCCTAAGCTGGAGCATCACAGCATCTGAGAAATTTAGAAGTGCAAATTCTAGGCTCTCACTCCAGACCTACAAAATCAGGAACTTTCATAAGCTCTCTGATTGGCTCAAATAAACTGCTCTACAACTTTGCTACTCAAAGTGTAGGCCATGGGCCAGAAACATCAGCATCACTCAGAAGCCTATTAGAACTGCAGAATCTGCAAAATTCCAGAGCCTCTGGCCCGGACACTGCATTTAAACAAGATTTTCAGGTGACTGGTATGCCCATGAAAATGTAAGCACTGCACTAGAGGTTTTGGAAAATACAGTAAAAGTATAAAGAAGAAACCCAGAGCCTGCAATCAGATATAGCCGTTGTTAATATTTTGACGTAATTTGTATCAGCTGGTTATTACAAATCTATATTTGCATGAAGTGCTTTTTGGTTGTTAGGTTTTTGCCATAGGATGCATGCACTCCCCGGAGAGTGAGAGAGACAGATCAGAGAGAGGCAGAGTGAGAACTCACCCCCTAGAGGGGATAGTTACACTGCAATCCCTTCTCTTCCATTCTCTTCTGTGGATTTTGGGTATGCAAGATTTGAACATGCTAAACAGAAAGACATGACCATCCACCAGAGTGAAGACAGAAGCAGAGGTCCTGATTTGAAATCTCAGGTGTATATAGGATGTAGGGCTTTGATTTTGCGGCCTATGTGCCTGGTGTGAGTTCCAAGTCATTGGGTCTGGGATTCAAACCACAAATGACCATTTGTGAGTCCAGTGCTTTAACCACCTCACCACCTGCTGGCCCTATGAAGTGCTCTTTTAACAGACATTAAGTGGTTGGGGCTGGCAGGTGGTGTGGTGTTTAGGGGTGCTGGACTCCCACATGGCCCACTGCAGTTTGAGTCCTGGACCTGGCTGCTTGCTTTCTCACTTTCCCTTTCACTCTCGCTCTCACTCTATCCCTCTTGGGTCAAGTTAAAATAAATAAATAAATAAATAAATAAATAAATAAATAAATGTTATGAGAAAACATACATAATTTGATTCCTGCTTTTTCCCCCTTTTTAAATTTTTAAAAATTTGTGTGTGTGTGTGTGTGTGTGTGTGTGTTTGTGTGTTTAGGAAGAGGGACGACAGCGACAAAATGCTCGCAGACTCAACCTCAATAGATTTCTTAAAAACTAAAATGAGAGGTGCAGCGGGGAACAGGGGACTTAGGCACAAACCATAGCAGCCGCTTCTTTGCAATAAGACATTAATGCTTTTAAGTGGCCAAGGCCGCTTTTTGTGCATCCAGGTTGTAGCTGAGGTATGTCTCCACGTGTGGCCGGGCGCCCAGAACACGGTGTACACTTCAACGTGTGGGGTGTTGTATTCCAGGCGCCTGTGTGTGCTGACGCGCTCAGTGTGTGCACAGCTGTGCAGAATGAATCACAGACATCAGAGATGGAAAACACCTGTTACTGTTGGTCATCCGGGCTGGCGTGCACACGTTCTAGTTCCCATTTCTAGGACAGTGACATGCCCTTGCTCGGCAGGCCCTATTCCTTCATTCATTCTTTCAGCCAGTCCGGCCAGCTGTCTACCAGGGATTTGCTAGGTCAAGAGATAAAAGACAAGCAAAGTACCCCTTGCTCTCAGAAAACTCCCAGTCTACTGGGGAGAGGGTGAATAGACACCCCATTTGCAGCTGGTAGACTTGATGTCATTGAGGAGGAACAGAAAGTGCCTGGAGCCCTGGGAGGGGAGGAGAAGGAAGCTTTCTCCAGAGTGGTGGACCAGGAGGCCTTACCGAGAAAATGATCTTTGAGGGCCTTGAATGATGTGTTGGATTTGAGCATGCTAAACAGAAAGACATGACTATCCACCGGAGTGAGGACAGAAGCAGAGGTCCTGATTTGAAATCTCAGGTGTGTATAGGATGTAGGGGTTTGATTTTGTGGCCTATATAGGATTAGTGAGAAATGATTGGGTTAGATTATTGGGTTGGATGTATGGGTTAGATCAAGAGTTTGGATTTGATTTGGTAGGCAATTAAGAAAAGAATCATAGAGCATCCTTATGATGCTAAGAAAAAAATGAACACTGACGCACTGGTTGTCAAAGTGTAGTTCACAGACCTGAAGCATTCCCTAAGCTGGAGCATCACAGCATCTGAGAAATTTAGAAGTGCAAATTCTAGGCTCTCACTCCAGACCTACAAAATCAGGAACTTTCATAAGCTCTCTGATTGGCTCAAATAAACTGCTCTACAACTTTGCTACTCAAAGTGTAGGCCATGGGCCAGAAACATCAGCATCACTCAGAAGCCTATTAGAACTGCAGAATCTGCAAAATTCCAGAGCCTCTGGCCCGGACACTGCATTTAAACAAGATTTTCAGGTGACTGGTATGCCCATGAAAATGTAAGCACTGCACTAGAGGTTTTGGAAAATACAGTAAAAGTATAAAGAAGAAACCCAGAGCCTGCAATCAGATATAGCCGTTGTTAATATTTTGACGTAATTTGTATCAGCTGGTTATTACAAATCTATATTTGCATGAAGTGCTTTTTGGTTGTTAGGTTTTTGCCATAGGATGCATGCACTCCCCGGAGAGTGAGAGAGACAGATCAGAGAGAGGCAGAGTGAGAACTCACCCCCTAGAGGGGATAGTTACACTGCAATCCCTTCTCTTCCATTCTCTTCTGTGGATTTTGGGTATGCAAGATTTGAACATGCTAAACAGAAAGACATGACCATCCACCAGAGTGAAGACAGAAGCAGAGGTCCTGATTTGAAATCTCAGGTGTATATAGGATGTAGGGCTTTGATTTTGCGGCCTATGTGCCTGGTGTGAGTTCCAAGTCATTGGGTCTGGGATTCAAACCACAAATGACCATTTGTGAGTCCAGTGCTTTAACCACCTCACCACCTGCTGGCCCTATGAAGTGCTCTTTTAACAGACATTAAGTGGTTGGGGCTGGCAGGTGGTGTGGTGTTTAGGGGTGCTGGACTCCCACATGGCCCACTGCAGTTTGAGTCCTGGACCTGGCTGCTTGCTTTCTCACTTTCCCTTTCACTCTCGCTCTCACTCTATCCCTCTTGGGTCAAGTTAAAATAAATAAATAAATAAATAAATAAATAAATGTTATGAGAAAACATACATAATTTGATTCCTGCTTTTTCCCCCTTTTTAAATTTTTAAAAATTTTGCAACAGGGCATGTATGCTCTCCAGAGAGAGATGGGAGAGGTGTGGGAGGGGGGTGAGAAATTATCCCGTAGGGGTCATGGTCACA